GGCTGGGAGGAGGAAGGAGTGGGGGAAAAGTCAGTGCTTGACGAGGAAACAGAAACGGTGCTGCCTTGGCAAATAGGTGTGTTCCAGGTGCCAGGGCGTCTCCGCCGGTGTTGACATAAGCGTCGAGGATAAAGAGAAGCGCCCGGGCCGAGGGGCGCAGAGTTCACCGATACTGCCGGGCGCGTCCCACCGCCGTGAAGCGTTGCTGCTGGCTGCCCGTGGCTGCGTGAGGGGTTTTAACGCCGGCGAGAATGGGCCAAGTTCTGTTTTAAAGCGCGATTAAAATGTGTCGCTCTCCTTTTCCTTCCCTCAGTCGAGAAATTCTTCGGTTGGGTGTTGCCATGTTTCGCAGTTGCTCTGCAGACTTCGCTTATTCGGTGGCATTTAGTAGCTTGTTAGCAAAGCTCTCCCTAACAGCTTGACAGCGCCAGTGTCTCCTCAGTGTAAAAGTTGGCAGATCCAGACTGCTTCGCCAGTCTGCTGGAGCAGATAGCTTTCTTTTTAACCGCACGCTAAACAAGTTAAAAAAGAGAGAGCCGTCTAGGCTGTTTGTGGCTCTGCCTGTGACACTAGTTGCTGTGAAGTGTCTTCACAGAAGTATTTTGTTAAATCTCTTGTACAGCTAACCTTTGGGGGAGCTCAGCTGTAATGACAAAATGAGTAGTACTCGTAGCGGACCTGGCAGCTATAGCTGTTGGAATCATGTGATGAGGACGGTAGTGTGAGCACTAGCTAGGCTGAAGGTAGCTTTCAAAACCAAAATCTAGATATGTGGGCCCTTGTGTCTTTTTGTTTGTTTGTTTAAATGCACATTTTGTGTGCATCAAATGCACAAATATCCCCCCATATCAGTGGGGATCCTTAGCATGTAGTTTGTGACTTTATTGACAGACTTGGCAGTCCACTTTCAAAAACTTGGTTCTTTAACTGTGTAATGCCTAAGACTTACAAGGAAAATACTATGAATGTTGAGGTCTTTGAATTACTTGACCCTGAAATTGACTCTAAACCAATTTGCTTTTATATTTGGGCTCAGAGACTCCAGAAACCATTACCTGCAGCATGAACGGCTATTCTTCTTCTCCAGGCAGCTGCAGTACAACTTTATTTTTTCCAGAAAACTTAAAGGCTGAAACAAACAGCACAAGATTTCCATTTTCTAATTGCTGCTTTTCCTAATAACATACAAAACGTTTCCTACTCCAAATACTTTAAAGGGTATGGGAGACGTGACTTCCTGTACGTGTAGAGCAGTTTTCAGACTCTCTCTGGAGGGATTATTGGCTAGAAAGTACGAACAATTGCACATCTTTATTGTCTCCCTTTAAAAGGTTTTGTGATAGCAATTTGTGTTTTAATTCATCAGTCACATGCAATGTATTCATTCTTCAGTGCTGTTTAGTTAAAAAAAAAAAAAAGTTGCCAGATTTTTAATATACTTTTTTCTAACTTTGTTATTGTCCTGTTGCTCTGCGAAAGCAGTCATATGATGACTAAGGTATGAAAAGTAATCCTGTGGGTTTCGTTGCAGAAGCAGTTTGTGCTAATATGGTCTTGAAGCAGCCTGCCTTGATACCTGTGGTGATGTAACTCAAGAGATGATAGGAAGTGGTGTTACGTTATTCACTACCTTGTGTTGGTTTTCGGTTCCATTTAAAAAAGAAGTCTGATTTCTGAGAGTAAGGATAGATAATAAAATTCTATATACTTGCGAGTCTGCAAATACAATGACTGCGGCTTGGAAACTGGTTACACTACATTACAGATTTTTAAACACAGAAAGAGACAGTTTGGGGAAAACTAATGCTACCTGAAAGAAGACGTAGTATACTGGATTGACAGAGTTCTGAACTCTGACACATTTAAAACAAAGTAGTATAGTGAATTTATCTATAATAACTTCTAGGTGGCAAAAATAGCAATGGGAGGGTTTTTTTAAAAAAAGTTTTCTCAGACTTTTGTCGGTATCATCTGCTTTTTCAAACTACCGAGTTTCAAAGCCTCATGTGGAAAGCTGGCTTGCTGCTGAGCTTTTTGGGTGTGATTTTTCTTTACTGTTACATACCCATTGTAAGTAGGTGTGCTGGCAGTTGTAGTTTTAAAATAAAAATGTTTTATTTGGTTAATAAGGGTAGAGTCCAGATAGTGGTTTTAGTGTTTGTTTGCCTGTAGCATTTTTTTTTTCTATAGGGTATCTTTTAATGGATACTACTGTGGCTACTAGTTATGTTGTGCCATGCCACAGGATCAATGTCCTTGATTCATTAGTATTAAGTATAGAATAAGTAACTACTTAAAAATATAGGATAGCTACTGCTGTGATGAGCCTTTGGAAATTTTCTTTAGAAACTGTTTTTAGAAGTTCAGTTTTATGGATTAGGTAGCATTCTCTAGTGCAAGGCATTTGTTCATGAAGTATATGTTCTCTTTGACCAAAAAATGGGAATGTGAAAATAAATCCTTTCTGACTTATCTTTTAAACTGTTTGAGCTACAACTTAAATACTCTGTTACTATCAGTTTCAAGTAAATTTTTTTATAAACAGTAGGATATAAAAGAAAGTTAGCCTTCTATGAGATGCATTTAAAAATCATTTCAGATATCTGTATTTTATTTCTGTTATCTGGTTTACTGGCAGTATTTACTTTCTCACATTTCTTATGCTAAGTTGGCTTTATTTTCTAATGTACTTGTCCATTACTGACCTAACCAAAACTAATTTTATGTATTAGATTTTCACAAATATTCACTCTGCTGTCTTTTTCTCCTTCTAGGAGTATGTTAAGGGACTCTGTGAACCTGAACTAGAAGAAAAGGAGTACTACCCAAAGGACATGCACTGCATCTTTGTTGGTGCACAGAGCCTGTTCCTTAACAGTCTTATTCAGGATACCTGTGCTGATATAACAGTTCTGGAAATAGGATTGCTCAGTATTAAGGGGGGTGCAGAAGCTGTTGTTATGGCTCAAAGTCACGTTCAGCAGTTTGTGAAGCTTTTTGAGAATAATGAAAGCTTATTAAGCGACAATGAATCAGAGATTAAAAAGCAATTCAGACGATTTGTGGAAGCGCATGCAGATAAATATACAATGGATTTACTGATTTTGCCTAGCTCGCTAAAAAGAGAACTCCTAGCTCTCACGCAAACTGAATGTTGTGAAGTGGAGAGCAATATCATAGATCTTACAGGTTCTGAAAGCCCGACAGAGCTTTTACAAAACAAAACCTCCAAAGTAACCTCTACAAACAGAGATGGAAGAGCAGGTGGTGAGGAAGCAAGAAACAATGCTGGGACACCTGTAACTGAGCTTACAAAGCAAATGGACACTGTGTTTTCTGATGCTGCTGAAACAAGTTTTGTTCCCATAAATGTTGTGCCTATGTTAGAGGCAGTGCCTAAAGAAAGGCAGTCATGTAAAAGAAGATCTTCTGATGATGAGGAAAGGCTCCCTAAAAAGCAGTTCTCTTTAGAAAATGATCAGGAAGTGAAATCTGCTTCAGGCAGTAATCCTTCAGACAGTGATCCAGTTATTGATCTGCTTTCGGATAGCTGCGGCGAATCAGATGATCCCAGTTACTGCCTTAAAGAAGGTGATGATATCAGTGAGGAAATGGAATATAAGATTCTTGTGAACTTTTTCAGAACAATGGGATATTCCCAAAATATTGTAGAAAAAGTTATTGGTATCCTAGGACAATCTGTGGAACCATTAACATTGCTAGAAGAAATAGAAAAGGAAAATGTAAAATTTCAAAAAGAACATGAGCAGTCGTCTCAAAAGCCTAGAACTATCAATCCTCATTTAGGAAGTAATGGAAATGATTCGCAAAAGCTAGAAGACAAAGGCATTTCTAGCAATAAAAGTCCACTTAAATCCAGTCATACTTCAAAGGAGACAAAAAATGAATATCACAAAGTAAGAGATTCACCAAGCGTGCAAGTTGATGCAGAAGATAAAATGCATATGTTGGTATGCAAACCTGCTTCTCCTTCCAGTAAAAATTCAGCTATGTGCTATGAACAGAGAGACATTTATTGCCCTGGTAAGAATCACAGTTCAAGGTCAAGTGATATAGAAACTGATGGTGGTGTAACTTTTGGCACTAGACAAGCTGGAGCTCTAAAAGATGTTGATTTTGTAGCCAGAGGGAGCTCAGATGTGCAGCGTATCTCAACTAAGACTAAAACTGCAGTTCAGCAAAAATCTGCAGGGCCCTCAACTGTACAGAATAGTCATCCTGGTTTTGAGGACCAATTAGGACACTGCAGCTCTTCTTCTCAAGTGAGATGTCTCAATCGACGCCTTCCCCAAACCTCAAATTCTGAAAATCCTATCCTAGACCAGGTATTGTCTTCACAGATACATCCTTCAAATTCTGATAGAGAGACGGTGGGACCACACAGACATCATCCTGATCCTTCAGTTACTGGAGTTCAAAGATTTTTGGAATCTCTGAAAAAGCCATACAGACTGGAGTTGAAAAATGAACCTGGGAAACCATATTTAAAACATATCATTATTGATGGAAGCAATGTTGCAATTTCGTAAGTATTGTTCTTTTCAACTATCTCTTTATTAAAAGTTCAGTGAACTTTCAAATGAAATGGGGACTAAGAGGTTGCTGTGGCATGTGTAAAGTTTTTGCTAGCTAGCTTTTTGGTAACCAGCAGTCCATGTACACAGCAAGGTTTTTCAGCTGCTGGTAATGGCTGCATTGGTAAGTTATGGTAAGGCTTGATCATGAAAAATTACATAAGATTGACAGTAGCAATTTTAATTTCCAACACATAGTAATTTTGATAGTTCTCATTCTCCATTTAGTGACAGCATTCATTTTTATGACTGATTTGTTTGGAGTTGTTATTCTTTGTTGAGATACTGTGCATAGAAGGAAATTCAGAAGTTTTTAGCTGGTGCACTATATGACCCTTACTGCAGTACACAAATCCAGCTAGAACAGTGTGGTTGTGGGATATTCTAACATGAAACAATTTTGTAGAATTTACTTTTGGTTTAAAAAGTTTACATAGTCTGAAGTTGAACAAATGCAATAACCAGTCAAAATAGAATGAGGAAAATCCTTGATTTTGACTTAAAAATTGGTTGGTAATTGCAGTAGTCTGGAAAATATTTTCTGTAAAACCTTTTAAGACTTAGTTTTCCTGCTCTGGTAGAAATTTGCGAATTTGTAAAAACAGGTAGCTCCGATTTATGAAGCCCAAATACTAGAATAATCTGAAACAAACTTGAACAGAATAGGCAATGGAAACTAAAACTAATTAAATGTTAGAGGTAGGTGAGATTCTTTTTGATAACAACATGTTTCAAAATGAAAAGTGAATTAATTCTACAGCATTTCTTACTAGGCAGTGGTCAAATTTGAAGCCCAATTTATGCCATTTCAGAGCAACCTACTTTGAATTATCAGTGCTCCAGCTTGATGTAACACTTCAGTCAGAAGTAATTTCAGTGAGCTCTGCTCTGTTGCAAGCAATTTTTTGCATTCAACTTAATTTGCTTTGCATGCATCTAACAAGGAAGTTGAGTTACCATCAACTTCAAAGTGTTTTGGTTTTTTTACTTTTGCTTTTAGTGTCTTCTAATTTTAAAGTGGAGGTTCTTATATAGTAGTAACTTATTTGTCCTTTAACAACATTACACATTAGTGCTTGGGTCCTGTTACTTTTTGCAAATGTAGGCGTGCAACAAAGATATTCCATCCCCCTCCATACAATTTGCAGAATAGGGAACTGGGTGTATGTGTGCACACACCTCGCCTCCTATTCCTCCTGGTACCTGGAAGAGTGCATGCAAATGATAGTAGACAGTTATAGGACTGTTGGATAATTTGAATAGCTTGGCTGACAAGGCACCATGCAAACAAACCCTATGAAATGGGCACAGTTAATACTGAAAAGATCAAGAAATCCCTTTCATTGACTATGACGCAGGGATTTTCCATTATTGTTAATATCCTAATTCCTTTTTTTTTAATGTTTCTATTGTAGGAAAAATAAAATTTAAAAAAAAAATTGTAATTGGCAATGCCCTCCAAAGTTGTCTAAGTTGGTTATAACTAACTGGAATAGCAAAAATCACTTAGAACCTATATCTCTTTAAAATTTCATGCTTCACTTGGTTCATTTTAACATTTGTCTCGTCAAAACTATCCTTGAATTGATTGCTGTTCTCTAGTCAGGAAGAGACTTGGATCTGCTCTTTTTATACCAAGTTATTTTGGCAAGCACGCGTCAGAAGGTTTTGTCAGTGTTTGCTATGGGCCTTTTGGAATATGAAAGTGAGCAATGACAAATGCAGTATTTCTTCTGAATGAGGAAGTGGTATTTTTTAAGAACAAACTGTTTTCCTGCTCCACTTGTCAATGTACCAGTAAGTAAGAGTAAATTTACTATGAGAACTTGCTATTTAATATTTTTTTGGTGCATACAGAGTTCCTCTACTGAACATGCATAAACCCTTCCAAGTACAGAAATTAGTTTTCATTGTGAAACCATGCTGCCAGAAACAAAATGGAGTACTGTAAGCAAAACAATAGTAATTCTCAGAAAGATCATCTGTATCCCTAAGACAAAGTGAGAAACATTAGGTTATTTAAGTGTTTTCTTAAACACTTAAACTATTTTAAAATATGGATTTTAATCTTGGAGATTAGAAAACCTGAAGAGCCTCATATCAGTGATATTATCTTGTATTCAGTTGTAACTAATTCTTGAATAGGATATTTTCTAAGAATAGGCCAGAGTACTACCAGTGATCCCATGAATTCTGTAGGATGCTCTTAGGCTGAGAAGAGCACATCTGACTGGTTAAGATACCTGTATCATATGTCATCTACTTCCAGCTAATAGATGAAAGAGGCTTCCCAAAGGAATGGGCTTAAATGCTGTATAGGAGAAAAAAATAAACTTTTCCAGGAAAAAAATAAAATTACAATGTTATGTACCATAAGAAAATAATGTCAAAGTCTGTCCTAAAATGAATTTAATGTTTCAGACAGTTGACAGCTAGTACAGGTTTCCCAAAAGTAACTATGTAAACACAGATCTGCACGTGCACGTCCGCACAGTTGCGTTAATGGGGAAGAAATGGATGCATGCTTCTAGTTTCACAGAGCTAGATAAAGATGCCCTTAGATACTGTTCTGTCGTGGTTATGAAAGATCTAGCGTAGCTCCTAAACATTTTGCCAAAATTCATGGAATAGCAAAACTTCCTGAATTGTTAGGGATAATAAATACTTCTAACTCTCTTTTCTCTGTAATGTGTATGAATTTTGCTTGAGAACAGAAATAATAAATTCTGTTGTTATTTTTGTGAAGTGCTAGTAGAATTGTTGACATTATTTTAGCAAATTGGGGAATCAATCTTAACCTCTTCCCTTTATGTACAGTCCTAGCCTGATGATTTCTATTTTGATACCTTGGCATTTGCAGATAACTTAGGTAGACTACCAGATGATACCTTGAAATTCCTAGAAGTGTAGTTCATTCAGAAATATTTCTGCTGATGTTTTAAACTTAATTCATATAAAAATATATCTCACTTTGCCTGTTTTTTTGACAGGCCTCTTAGGTATTTCTGTGTGTTCCTGCTAGATCACTTCTTCCCCCATTCAGAACAAAACATAGATTTTTAAATATGATTAGCTTCAAATGCGGTTTAAGGACCTAGTAATACAGAAATGTTTGCAGTTAGTGCAGAAAGTCTCTATAGCACAGACGAGGCATCAAAAGTAAATCTGAGTAACAACTTCTGTTTATGAGAAGGAATGTCAGATTTCTTAATGTGTAACCTTTCCTGCCAAGTGATCATTAGTTGAAGAAGGTGATGATCATCCTTATAACTTGATTTCCCCAGGTTAAAGAGCCCACAGCTAGGCCCTTATGACTGGCAACAGTAAAACTTTCAGGTCAATCAGCGGGGGATTAATTGAATTAATAGATTAAGGTTTTCTGTCAGTTTATAGTCTTGCTAACTTTAAAGGGGAAGTGTGACATGATCCATAACTCGTTGACACTGCTTTAATTCAAGTACAGTGTTTGTTACAGTAAATAGTTTTTAAAGCAAACTTATTTCCTCATTGCTCAGACTCTGTTATTTAGAAAATAGTGATGTAAAAGTGCAAGTCACAACTGAGTCATAAGCTACCTTGAACTTTTAAAAATTATTTCCCAAATGTGTATTAGTGGAAGAGAAATGCAAATTGTTGGGGTCATGTAGAAAATAACAAATACACCACATCTTTTTTGTCGTCTTTTTTTTTAATATGGAGAGATTTTTTTCATCTATGTATTTCATCTATGGGGTTTTGTGATTCTCTTTTTCAGATATATTTGGCTGTTCTTAAAACCAATGAATTAAAAGATGGTGAATAAACATCTGCTTATCTCTCTGATGGCTGTGAGACTACTGTAGGCAGTGGTCTTCTAACTTTTTTTGATTGAGCACCCTGTACTGGTTTTGGCTGGGGTGGAGTTAATTTTCTTCATAGTAGCTAGTATGGAGCTATGTTTTGTATTTGTGCTGGAAACGGTGTTGATAACACAGGGATGTTTTAGTTACTGCTGAGCAGCGCTTACACAGAGTCAAGGCCTTTTCTGCTCCTCACCCCACCCCACCAGCGAGCAGGCTGGGGGTGCATGAGAAGCTGGGAGGGGACACAGCTGGGGGGACAGCTGACCCCAACTGACCCAAGCGATATCCCGGACTGTATGACATCATGCCCAGTGTATAAAGCTGGGGGAAGAAGAAGGAAGGGGGGGGGACGCATTTGGAGTGATGGCGTTTGTCTTCCCAAATAACCCTTACACATGAGGGAGCCCTGCTTTCCTGGAGATGGCTGAACACCTGCCTGCCGATGGGAAGCAGTGAATGAATTCCTTGTTTTGCTTTGCTTGCGTGCCCGGCTTTTGCTTTACTTATTAAACTGTCTTTATCTCAACCCACAAGTTTTCTCACATTTACTCTGCTGATTCTGTCCCCTATCCCACCAGGGGGGAGTGAGCAACCTGAACACAGTGAGCTGCAGCCCCACCAGTGCTGAGTACAGGGGGATGGTCTCCTCCCTGCTCCTGCTGGCCACACCATTCCTGATACAAGCCAGGATGCTATTGGCCTTCTTGGCCACATGAGCACACTGCTGGCTCATACTCAGCTGGATCCTAGTTTTACTTTGATTAAAAAATTATCCAGCCACCAAGCCAGGAAACATGAAATTAGTTATTACTCTACCCTTAATTGGTTTAGTGGTGGACTTGGTAGTGTTAGGCTAATGGTTGGACTTGAGGATCTTAAAGGTCTTTTCCAACCTAAACGATTCTATGATTCTGTGTTAACCAACACCCCTATCAACTATGTATGTGCATTACTGAAGTTCTCATATGTCCTTCATGCACCCCAATGGCTTGTCTTGCACTCCAGCTGGTGTGCACACACCCCACATGTGAGTAGGGCACAGTAGCTGGATGCCATTGACATAGAGTGCCCAAATACGGTTATATAACACTGCTGCCTGCTGCTCAACAAAATGAAAGCTCTGCTTATGAAAAGCAAAGGACAGAGAATGGCCTCAAAATAGCAGAACCATTGAGATATTTAAATGTCCTACTAAATAATCAACATGCGGGGGTCTGGGGGTTAATGTAGGTATTCTGCAGCTTCCTTCTGGCTAGATAAAGCCTCATTATTTTCTTACATCTTAGAAAGTGAAGAATTGTTTTCAATTTTGTTTTGCATTGTTTTCAGTTTTACTTCTCAGTACCTTGAGGTTATGGACATCTGCTTCCATGCCTATGTTGGGGTTTTTTTGACCCGTGCTGCCATGTGGTTTTGGGGGGGGAGGGTATTAATGCATTGTCCACAGGCTTGGACTAAGGCTGAATGGGCTTCCAAAGCACTACTTGCTTTGTGTCTTAACTCTGGAAGGCTGCAAGAAGATGAAGAATTTTTCCTCTTGACAGGTGCAGTCTAGTAAAAACGGCACATTGATCTATTAATGTTAGCTGTACTTTCAGTGTGCTTGTTGAGTGAGAGAAAGCCAAGTTTACTCTAATCCCTAACAAGTATTTTTTAAAATTGCCTCTTTTTGTGTGCTGAAAACAGGGCAGACTGAAATATCCAGATAGTTGTCAGGTGATTTTAAATTACATTTTATGAAAATGTGGAAGAAAATCAGAATAAAGGAATAATTGGATGGAATTATATCTTGCTAGAATTGTTTGTAAATATGTAAATATATACTTTCCTTAATTTAGTTACAGAACCAAAGGGAAAATGCTACATGTCCTGGAAAGCAACCCGCTGTTTGCTGCTTTGTGCTGCTTATGATGATCTCTTGTTTAACTTCAGAAATACCTTTGTAGGGTCTTCACAGTTTTTTAACGAACTGGGACAGCCAAAACCAGTATTTACAATGGCAGTTGGGGAACAGATGCAGTCTTTGAGATGGATGTCTTGAAAAGACCACCTTGCTGTGTTAATTTGCTGTCCTTCAGATATTTACCTAGCTCAAATAAAGCATTTTCATATTTCTGTTTATCTAGCAGTGACATATTTATTCATATTATAGCTTACCTTAATTCTACATGTTATTTGATAAAGTTAAATATATGGCTTCTATTTGCATGCTTCTTTTTTTAAGTTGCTACAGAGCAGGAGTTTGTTATTATACAGGACAAATCAAGAGCTGCTGTTCTAAGCTTCAAAACATTTAAAAAACAGAGTACTCTGTGCAGTTCAACAGGTTTGAAGCTCTAAAACAGGAGAATGGACAAGTAGAGAAGGCATAAGTTCCACCATGAACATCAAGACCTCTGCATCTCTTGAAGTCCAATTGGGAGCCATTAATACAGTGAAAGTATTTAACAGAGTTTTCCAGTTTATTGAATAGGATTTCTAGCTTAAAGTGAGGGGATGACGACTGCATTTTAAGTTTATGGCCTAGGAGATTTATGAGGGGTGACTCTTCTCTGACAATTGCATTCCTTTATTTGACTGCTCTTGACATCAAGAACACTTAATTTTATTAGGGCAAGTGTGGCATAGGATTTTTTTCTCCAGAAACTCTGTTAAAGTCAGATTTTTTGCCTTTTATAGTTCAGATGTAGCTGACTCATTTTTCTGCCCTTCTACATGAAATATCCCTCTCTAAATTCAGAGAACCTTAACAGATTTATATTTTGATACATTTATTTTAAAATGAGTTTACAAAATTGGAAAAGGATACATGAATGCTACTAAAGGCTGAGTTCCACTGTAAAATATTTCCATGGAGATGTTTTAAAGAAGCCTCTGTTCAGAAGATTTCCTAGTAGGTTAAACTAGGGGTTTAAAGATAAGATTCCATTCAAAACTAATAGGGCTTACTAATTGGCTTATAATATACACTTGCACGTTAATTAGGAGACTGGTTTAAAATACAAATACCACTTGATCACTTCCTGTTATGAGCAGCGCTTTGTAGTAACTTAACATCTAACTCAAAACATAGAGTATGTGCTACTTTGTCGGAAGTGCTTTGCCTGTTCGTGCCATCAGTTCTGAATCGGTGTGGCTTTTCTGACTAAGTAGATCTTTGTTTTGTCTAAGTGTAGCCTCTAATCTATGAAAATGCAAGGGGAAAAGTTTCTTAATGAAAACTGGATTTAGCCTTATGTAAGGTGCTAATAGGTGTTTTGTAGGCATTTATTCTAGAGGTATTTTTGATTCTGTCTTCTGTGCTTTATTTTAAGATTCTTCTTCCATTATTCTCCTGAAGCTCAGTTCCCAGAATCTGGTTAGACAGTTAATTGCTAAAGGAGGACTTCCTGCCATGTGTTAAATGGGCATATAGGATCATTGGGATAATTCAGATTGAGAGGGACTTCACAAGGTTATCAACTCCAATCTCTGTATCACTCGTATTGGGCAGTTGCTGATTTTTCTGGAAAGTCACTTAACTGAGTTGCAAAAACAGATAATGAACATCTTATCTTTTCAAATGGGGAAAAACAAAAAAAGATTGCCACTAAAATACAGTGTTTTGAAAATCTTTCTTCAAAGAAATTTCATTATTTTGCTTGAAAATGGTAGCTCGGATTGTTGAAATGCAGGGAGAGGAGGGCCCTAATATCTTAGATTATCAGGGAACTTCTCAGAACTTCTCCTTGGGAACCAGCTGAACCAAAGGTGTTCTCTTTTGCCGTGGGACTGTATTTGGAACTACCACAATATTGGATTATGATCATTTTAATCTATAATCAATAGATTTTGGAAACCATCTGTCATGGTTTAACCCAGCAGGCCACACAGCCGTTTGCTCGCTCCCCCACACTGGGATGGGGAAGAGAATTGGAAAAAAGGTAAAACTCATGCACTGAAATAAAGACATTCTAATAAGACAGAAAAGGAAAGGAAAATAATATTAATAATGATAAAAGAATATACAAAACAAGCGATGCACAATGCAATTGCTCACCACCCGCTCACTGATGCGCAGTCAGTTCCTGAGCAGCAGCTGCACCCCCCCAGCCAGCTCCCTGCAGTTTTTTTGTTCAGCATGTCATATGGTATGGAATATCCCTTTGGACAGTTGGGGTCAGCAGTCCTGGCTGTGTGCCCTCCCAGCTTCTTGTCCACCTCCAGCCTACTCGCTGGCAGGGCAGTATGGGAAGCTGAATAGTCCTTGACTTAGTGTAAGCACTGCTCAGGAACAACTAAAACATCAGTGTGTTACCCACATTATTCTCATACTAAATTCAAAACACAGCACTATACCAGCTACTAAAATTAACTCTATCCCAGCTGAAACCAGGACACCATCAGTCTTGGCCTCTTTTTAAAGCTAAACCCACTTCTAATTACTCGAATATTGTTGTTCCCATGAAACGGGAAGGAGACTGAGCTATGAAGCTGCAAAGTGACGTTCTCTTCTTTTGCTGACGATCTCTTTCCATTTATAAGATTCCTCATCTATAACATCCATCTACCTTTTATTTTGGGGAGGCTGTATCTGTAACTTCCAGCTTCACTTTGCAAGGTTTTGTTCCGTTTTCTTTATATTCATAGTAATAAAACTCTAGTGAATTTAATCTCCCTTCTCTTTCTTTCACCCCCAGTCATGGTCTAAGGAAATTCTTCTCCTGTCGAGGGATTGCAATAGCTGTTGACTACTTTTGGAAACGTGGCCACAGAAATATTACCGTGTTTGTTCCACAGTGGAGAACAAGACGTGATCCTCACATTACAGGTGAGGGAAATTGTTTCCTCGTGTTTTCTTTTTTGAACTAAATTGTAACTCTTTCTTTGGATACTTCTGTGAAGAATGAATGGAGAAGGAATACTTCATAAAACATTAAGCATGAGCAGTCTGGCTGCTTAGCATGAGTAACTGGGTTTCCATATACAATCTGAGACACTCTGAAATGCTGTTTAGGCTAACTGATGTGCCTGTGGAGGCCTTTTTGTTTGATTTGGTTTTTGTTTGCTCTTTAATTTCTAGTTTCAACCTTTTCCTCCCCATTTGTATAATATTAGCAATTCTTCAGCTATCAATGTCATTTTGGTAGGTTAATAAGTACAAAAATAGCCTATCTTCTCTACTAAATATATCTCAGGCTAACTGTCAAATCTGTAAATAGGTTAGAAGAAAGCTTTTGGTTTTAAGAATAGTTGTTTCATGTTTTAACAGAGCAGGATTTCTTAACACAGCTCCAGGATGTTGGAATATTGTCTTTAACCCCTGCAAGGATGGTTTTAGGAGCCAGAATTGCTGCTCATGATGACAGGTATGGAATATGCATAGTTTTAAAGTATTTTTGAACATCTGACTAGTGGTTGTAAAAGCTTAATACTTCATAAGCGGTTGCATTAGCTAGTTCTTCAACCTGTATTTGGAGCAGTGTGTTTGTAACAAAGTGTAGGCTAGTGAATTTCCAAGAGAATTTAAGCACCAAAGTTCAGCTTCAAAATGTGGGGATCATCTTTCAGTGAACACCAGTAAGCTTTAGGGGGTTTTGTTGGGTGTTGGAGGGGCCGGGTGGGGACCGTCCTAGTGCTTGCATTGCTGTTGTCAAATTTTCTCAGTCTTGAGACACAGTTAAAAGCGCGTGCTGCTTAAGTTTTTTTCCACAACCAGCTTTCCTAATTCTGCATGGATGAGCACTTTGCAGCTTTGAAATTGTGTTTTGCAGCTAGCTACAGTTTGCTGGATTTCAGTTTCTTCCTTCCTACTAATAATCATTCATACTTTATTTTTCTGACTACAAAATTGTCAGGTTTTTGCATCATGGGCATGCCTATTTTTGTTAGATTGCACAGTCATGTACCTGATTGCAGAACTTGATATGCAAAAGATATATAGAGTGCACTTAATTTATCTTCCTTGTTAAAATACAGCAACTCTGATCTCTTAAATAATAATGAGGTAACCAAAAAATGTAGAAGGCAGCCACGCTGGAGTTGCTTACACACTAATATTTTATATATGCCCAGCATTTCATATAAAATGCTATGTAGGTGCAGTATTTACAGTTGAGATGATGGTGGAAATGAGTGTTGTGCCGACATATTCGAACTTTCATCTAAGGTGTACACACTTCTTTGAAAGAACACCATCCATTATCTCTTTGCTAGAATAGTTTCAATTGGCAAAAAGCTTGTTTTCAGACAGGCAAAAAAAAAAATCATAGGATTTCCTTAATAAATGAGTAGCTACATTTTGTCATAATTTAACAACAAAATGGTAGCAGCACTCTTCATTAACAAGTGTTGACAGAGCAGACAACTAACATGCATAACACCATCTTGCAGAACACAGACATTAATGCTAAGCAAAAAAGTATGTGGAAATAGGTTTGTGTTGGAATGTGTAACAAATACTGTACTCTTTTGCAAAGCAAACCATTTACCTCTACAAATATTTCAGAATCTGATAATCCCATGGGTTTTGAGGGGATTTGCTTGTGGGTTTTTTTGTTGAAAAAAAGCCTCCCATGAAGACTCTGCTGCACTAAATAAATGCATGCTATCTAAAATGTTGTTTAAAGTTACATGGTGGGTCAACACAGAGTAATTTCCTGGTAATCAGACTGCTTGTTTTCATGCAAATAGATTACCCCTGGATGGCAAAATGTTTATTTTAATAGATCTTTGGACAATTTTCAGCAAAGCAGACTGTCTTAACAGTCTTTGAAATGAATTTTACAGGTTTTTATTACACCTTGCTGATAAAACTGGAGGTGTTATTGTGACTAATGACAACTTCAGAGAATTTGTGACGGAATCACATGCCTGGAGAGAAATTATTCAAAAAAGGTAATTACTCAATTTCTGTGAAGGCTTAAAAGGATGTCTGTCCTTACAGTTGTGGGGACTCTACCTTCATGTGGGATTTTTTATTTTTAATTAATCTGTCATGCGGTTCCGGTAGAGCCCAACGAAGTACTGTGTTTGTTTCACCACTTTGATTCATAGCCTTACAATCGTGTGTTGAGTAGTCTAATGTCCCTACTATTCATACATTCTCTAATGTAAGTCTGTTAATTGCTCACATAAATAGGAGCTTGGTGTAGCAGCCAAGCCATACCACTTCTGAAGCTCAATGTTAGATCCCGTTAGAGTATACACTTTGTGGTCCATTCTCACAGGCTTGCTTGTTTTACATTTCATTTCTTCAAGGAGACGTGATAGACAATGTAGACATACAGTGTCACTTTTAACGTTTCAGAATCACTCACTCTTTACTGTAGTACAACAAATCAGTACAGCTAAACAAAATAATGAACACTTGCAACACATCCCTGTAGCCATTTCCCTGCAATTGCTGAGTGTCCTTTGGGTTTAGATGAGATCACTTAACTATCAAATATCCCTGCTTCGGCTTGTGGATTCTCTGTGAATTACAGTTTCTCCTGTGCAACTGGTTTATTTTTTTAGTTCTGTTGGTTTTTTTTGTTTGTTCTGTTTTGTTTTTCCCCCCTCAAGTTAAATCGCGTCATTTTACTATTAAGGTATGATTTTCTAGTGCCCAAATTTCCCACTAATCCCTCAGAGTCTCCCCGACATCTTCTGAGGGTACATCTACTGCAGTGACTGGGGTCTGTATAGGTCTAATGAAATAAAGAATTGAAAACTGTCTTGGGTTCTCACAATATAGCTGGGAGAACATGGAATTGATGTTGGCTAATCATTTACGCTATTTCTTGAGTGAATTCTACCCAAGTCAGGTTCTGTTCTTGTACAGAACTTCAGCAAGAATACTTAGCACGTCATTCTGAGTCTGTGGGTTTTTTAAGAGCTTGTGTTAACATCTGCTATTAGTTTTACTTCTGGGGAAATTCCACTGTACCAAATTCTCCCCTTGTAGACAAATTTTAGTTGAACTGGTTTCCTTTAATACAGATTTCCCTCTGTCCCAAAATTATTCCAGAAAAAAAGCTGCTTTGTGTCTTAACTGTAAACAGCTAATGCAATGTTTGCTAGTTGTGTGGCTTTCTGATAACATATGCATTTTAGCTACGTGGTTGAAGATCCTTACAAGGAAGGGGAGTTTGAACAATCAGAAAATCTTCTGTAATCACCTAGAAAATTCCATCCTGGTCTCTTTGCAAAACTTTGCAGTCATCCAACACTTGCTGTCAAAAAAAAAAAAAAAAAAAAAAAAAAAACTTGCGGAAAAAAAAAAAAAAAAAAAAAAAAAAAAAAAAGCTCAGTGTTCTGCAGTGCAACGGGAACAGTTCACATAAGCGCCCATTAAATTCAGTGAATGCTGGTTGTATGTAAAATGGGTTACTAGTTAAGTTTCAGCGGCTCCTGATGTGGTGTGAAGTGTCTGCTCTAAGGCAAGTCATCCTATGCTACAGAGTTGAAGGGCAGCGAGGGTGTAATACGTTGTTAGTAAATAAAATTGAAGGAACTCTCTTGCAGGTTGCTCCAGTACACTTTTGCTGGTGACATATTCATGGTTCCTGATGATCCTTTGGGAAGAAATGGACCTAGATTAGATGACTTCCTTCGAAGTGAAGGCTGTTCTAGGTACAAGCACTGTTTTCACTTTTGTTTGAGACAGTTACGATTTCAAATGTGAAATAAATTGTTTTCCTGGTTGACTTGAACACTTCTTTAGCTCTGTATAGTGAAGGTACGGTAAAATTAAGCAAGAACACTGTAGGATGTAGCAGCTTAACAAAAACATGTTTTTCCTATTACTTCAGTCTGTTCAGAAACTGCTGGTGACATTTGCACCTAATCAAGATCTTTCTCAGAACTAAGATAAGCAAGACAATAACTTCCTCTGAGATTTGATTGTGGTGGCTTTCATACAGAGGTGCTCCAAACTGTGTTGACATTGCACAAAGCTGCCAGTATTTTGGGTATGTGGTAGCCTGGTATCCTGTCAATTACAGTGATGTTATTTAAAACCCCTTGGTTGGTCACTTATTCATAGTGGGACAGTAAGTGCTACAAAAGATACACTCTACACTCATGTTCTTTGTCACAGGAGAGGCATTTCACTTCACACTTGAGGGTACTGTGCTGTTAATAAAATGATGTTTGAGAGGCATTGTTATTAAATGCATTTATATTTCATTCATAATTTTAAATTCATAATTTTAAATACTAGTAAACATATGTTGTTCCATTAAGATCATTGTACTTTTAAAATGTGCATATATTCAAAGTATGAATTTGCTTTGCATTAACCGCCAAGACTTGAGAACAGGTTTGCTCCTTTGCACAAGAAAATAAGCTGCTCTTTGCTCTTCTTTCACCAGCTTAGGAATTATAAATGCTAGTGATAGTGAGGAGTATTGAGAAAGCTGTTAGAAACAAGTGAGGTAAATGAAATTAGCAATACAAAAGGCAACCTATACTTCAGGATTAATACAAATACAAAGAATAAGCAGGAATCTCAGCTATTGGAAACAACTGAGGAAAGTGAGACATATATAGTAGGTCACAGGTTGATTTGAAAATAAGCATGTAATATCAGCATGGAAGAAGTAAGTGCAGTTCTAGAACTCCAATAAGAAACGCTAAGAAAGTATTCAAGCTCTAATATAAAACTCTGTTGTGGTTTAGCCCCAGCCAGCAACTAAGCACCATGCAGCCGCTCGCTCACTCCCCCCTACCCCAATGAGATGGGGTGAGAGAATCGGAGGAGTAAGAGTGAGAAACACTCCTGGGTTGAGATAAGAACAGTTTCATAATTGAAATAAAGAAAAATAGTAATTGTAATAATAACAATATAATAATGATAATAATAATATACAAAGCAAGTGATGCACAATGCAATTGCTCACCACCCGCCGACCGATACCCAGACAGCTCCCAAGCAGCGATCGCTGCTCCCTGGCCAACTCCTCCCCACCCCCCCCAGTGTCTATACTGAGCATGACGTCATATGGTATGGAATAGCCCTTTGGTCAGTTGGGGGTAGCTGTCCTGGCTGTGCCCCCTCCCAGTTTCTTGTGTACCTGGCAGAGCATGTGAAGCTGAAAAGTCCTTGACTAGCATCAGCAGTACTTAGCAATAACTAAAACATCAGTGTGTTATCAACATTCTTCTCCTACTAAATCCAAAACACAGCACTATGCCTGCTACTAGGAAGAAAATTAACTCTATCCCAGCTGAAACCAGGACACCCTTTAAAATTCTATTGCTCTATGGTGATCATAGAATCATAGAATTGTTTAGGTTGGAAGACACCTTAAGATCGGGTCCTGCACTTCAGTCACAACAACCCCATGCAATGCT